ATAAATAATGTCCTCCTACAGGTAGATATAAATAATGTCCTCCTACAAGTAAATATAAATAAGGTCTTGCTAAAGGTAGATATAAATAATGTCCTCCTACAGGTAGATATAAATAATGTCCTCCTACAAGTAAATATAAATAAGGTCTTGCTAAAGGTAGATATAAATAATGTCCTCCTACAGGTAGATATAAATAATGTCCTCCTACAAGTAAATATAAATAAGGTCTTGTTAAAGGTAGATATAAATAATGTCCTCGTAGAGGCATAAAACGTCCAGATTTACACTCTTACTATGTCTTATACTCTGTGAAAGAGACAGTAAAAAAATTATAGTACTATAAGACAAGTGTAATTTGTCCCATAAAATTTTATTAGATTTCATTTTTTTTATGTGGCCCACTCATATGACCCACGATCAGATTATGTCATTGTGGACGATAGAACTATTAAGAATGGTTCAGTGCATGCGCATATGAGACTGGTGGTGGTTCGGTACCTCCAAAAAGGTTAAGAACCACTAGTCTAATATCAATGCGCCTATCTTCATCTCTGAACCCTTTTCACAAACGAAACAGCCAGTCACCCTACCATACCAAAAATTCCTTTTACCGTCGATTGATAAAGTATTTGAAATACACCAGCCAGGATGTACACGTGTAAGCCATTGTCTAATGTAGACACCCAACATGCATTAGCCATATCAGATATGATCACACATAAGTCTATGCAGGCTTTCAAAACTGCTGCTCTAGTATCTTGAAATCTCTGGTTTCATATACACTGTATATAACGTTATAACAATATCCCCCCCCCCCCCCACCCATACACCCATCCTACACAAACATAGCCTGCTCACATAGTCAGTCGTCGTTCATGAATATACGTAGAAAACAGTGAACATTGTTTGGATACAAATAGCCTCGACTTTTGATGTCAAAGTTTAAGTGATGTGGTGTAGTGTGCCCTGTGCTAAATTTAGCAATGGTCAAGTTGTGCGACTCACTGGCTGCAAGAGGTCAACGAGTACAGCATTTCCTCAGTGTTTATTAATGTAGCTACTGTAGGCTTCAGCTGTCTCGTGTAGTGTAGTGGTTTTTGATGCGACCTGTTGGGGACACTTGTTTATCTAATAAGGTGTAGTATTTTTATCATGTCCATGTCTGGGTCTCTGGATGTGTCTGTGTCCGTTTTTGCGTCTATGCTTCTGTGCGCCTCTGTCCGTCCGTCCGTCCATCTTCACATAAAACAACTCACCACACCACACCGGCCACCCACCAACAATTGAAAACAACTCACCACCAAACCACCAACAAATCACCACCAATAACCATCAAAGTAAAAAAAAAAGCCCCCACCCCACCCCCAGCCTGCGCAACACCATGAATCTAAAACTACGCCTCTACCACCCCCACTTTACCTATTCCCCCACCCCTACCACCTCATAAACACCCCCCTCGTCCCACCTCCCACACATAAAACAAATCACCGTCATCGACTTGGAATCTGTGCAACAATTTTCTCCTCTATTTCTTGGCGACGGCGGTGTAACGCTATACACCTTGAGTAATCTTCCACCACTAACCCATCGCTTTGAACACTCACACGCAGCAAAAACACAAAAACTATCATAGACTTAAGTTAGATTTATATGTAACTTAATCAGCTCCCCTATACCCCCTCACCCGCCACAACCAACCCCCCCCCCCCCCCCCCCCCCCCCCCCAAAAAAACAAAAAAAAACAAAAAAAAAACTAGCTATACATCCTCTCACTCTTAAAATAAAAATTGAACTGCAGGTTTTTAAAATTGAACACATCCCAACAAGACAGGCTACAGATTTTTGTGATAAAACGGGTCGGATATTAAGTCGTGTATCACGTGATTCGATGTGCACGCTTGATTTATCTCTTGCACCGGTGTGGTCCTCTGGCCCTTCCCTGTCGGCCCCTCCCCCTGGTTGGCGATACAGTGGTAGCAGTTTCTTACAGGCATGTCTTCGTTCTTCGGGGGGGGGGGGGGGGGGGGATGTGCACTGCTCCCCGTCCCCCGAGGAAGCAAGTTCACCGTCCCCTCAACCCCCAGGACAAACTAGAAAACAAAATTTATATAGAAAATAAAATATATCCATCCTTCATCCTTACATCAGTGTCGTCGTCGTACCACCCCCATCCCTTCTTCCCCAAAATTTAAGTCAGCCCTTACCCGAAAGTTTCAAGTTCCCCCACACCGGAGGTAAAATGTCTGAAAGAAACACTGATTGTTACCACCTTGGGGATGGGGGGGGGGGTCTTATAGCTAAGGGGGTGAACTTTGACTTCTAATATCGTTAGTTGCTTGACGTCTCATAGATATCTCTAATAAAATGTGGGCTTTATTAAATCCCCCCCCCCGGTTCAGGAGTAATTATCTTAAGAAGAATTGGTACTTCGATTCTCAAGAACATATTCTTACTCCCCCCTCCTCCCCCCTTTAAAAAACCATTGATTAGGCATCAGTGTTACATCTTAATTATTATGGTTTTTGTTTACAAATTAATAAGGGGAAGTATGTCCTTACAAAGTAAATCATTATAACGAATGTCAAGACGTGCTATACGATCACGGCTCGATGTCACTCGCTCAAATATTAATTGACTGATTATATTATTCAGACAGTAATATTAAAATCGATTTCACTTAATCAAAATTATTATGAAATGCATTTTAGTGACGTCACTCTCATACCCTACCCCCCATCGTCAAAATATTTCTTAGATTTTTGTGAATTTTTTTCTGTGACTTTTCTTTTTAGCAATAACTGACTTTTTTTTCTGTTTTTTTTTCTGCGACTTTTTTTTCCGGTCACCGAATAATGGCGGCACATTTCCGCTAATTTGCTCCTTACCGGTCGCAGGTATACTCGATATTGTACATTCGTGTATTATTTCTTGGAAAACACACCAACTCACCATTGTTCTTTTTATTTCTTTTTTTATAAGTGTGAAGTAAACAGTGTTTCTTCCAGACCTTTTTCTCCGGGAGGGGGGGGGGGCACTTGAAATTTTCGGGGGGGGGGGGGCGGTAGACTTTCTTCGGGGGGGGGGGGCGGACACTGTTAAAAGTATATATTTTCTATATAAATTATAAAAATTTCATTTCGTTCGGGGGGGAGGGGGGCGGTAGAAGAGATGCCTCAAAGAAACTCTGGAAGTAAAGGGTTCAAAGGGTTAGCGTGTTAGAGTTAACCTCTGCAGTCTCAGACGAGGATTGTAAATTTGTATAATAGTTATGAGAAAAAACAGATGCGCTCTATTGTTTCTGCATAGTGGGCCGAGTTCATGCGGAGTAGTCGAGAATATAAGGCAAGGAGGGGGATGTAGGGGGCATGGTGTGTACGTTATGTGGAGGTGGTATGGGGCAGATTTTAGAGATGGAGTTGTGGGCAGAGTGTAGGCTTTGGGTGGGAGGTGATATGGGCAGATTTTAGAGATGGAGGGTGATATGGGCAGATTGTAGGCTTTGGGTGGGAGGTGATATGGGCAGATTGTAGGCTTTGGGTGGGAGGTGATATGGCAGATTTTAGAGATGGAGGTGATATGGGCAGAGTGTAGGCTTTGGGATGGAGGTGATATGGGCAGATTGTAGGCTTTGGGTGGGAGGTGATATTGGCAGATTGTAGGCTTTGGGTGGGAGGTGATATGGGCAGAGTGTAGGCTTTGGGAGGGAGGTGATATGGGCAGATTGTAGGCTTTGGGTGGAGGTGATATGGGCAGATTTTAGAGATGGAGTTGTGGGCAGAGTGTGGGCTTTGGGATGGAGGTGATATGGGCAGATTGTAGGCTTTGGGTGGGAGGTGATATGGGCAGATTGTAGGCTTTGGGAGGGAGGTGATATGGGCAGAGTGTAGGCTTTGGGTGGGAGGTGATATGGGCAGAGTGTAGGCTTTGGGATGGAGGTGAATGGGCAGATTGTAGGCTTTGGGTGGGAGGTGATATGGGCAGAGTGTAGGCTTTGGGTGGGAGGTGATATGGGCAGATTTTAGACATGGTGATATGGGCAGAGTGTAGGCTTTGGGTGGGAGGTGATATGGGCAGATTTTAGACATGGTGATATGGGCAGAGTGTAGGCTTTGGGAGGGAGGTGATACAGGCAGAGTGTAGGATTTGGGAGGGAGGTGTTATGGGCAGAGTGTTCCTGTTTTGGGGTAGGAGATATTCAAAGAGAGTGTACGTCTTCACGTGGGAGATATGAATATCCAAGTAGAGGAGTTATAAAGGACACAATTGGCCGAAAGCTGAAAATAAAACAAAGTACTCGGCACTGCAGAAAAATTATATGTAATCTAAACAAGAAATTTACACAGTTAAAAAAAAAAAAGAAAAGTGAATGCAATAAGCTAGAACAGTAAAGCATGCAAATGTAGACATGCGCACAGAAAATAATGACCCCCCTACACACACACTCACACACGCACACACACACTCGTGTCAGTCAACACAGTGTGTAGAAAGTTGATGCATGTGATACCTACTAAAGAAACCAGATTTCATTTAAATTAAATTGCCTACTTCAAACTTACGTTTTATTTTCAAGTATGTTATAGATAAACTTAGTTTTATTTTTGTCAGTGTATTTTAAAAATCTCATTCTTTTTTAACGCTCGAACAAATTGAATGTGTAAACACTTATTTCCTTAAAGTATCTGTATCTATTTTATTTACAAAAAATTAATCAAATTGTTCACCGTCATATACTTTTTTGCTTAGAAAAAATAACCCGATGTATTATTCAGATTAAACGCTCGACTTAGTCCTGCCCTGACCCATTCAGTCAGTCGTACAGTTTTCATCAACGAGGCCTAGGACTAGCAACCACGTCGGCCACCATCGCCAGTCTAACATTATCACCGCTCAGTTCCGTCCCCTTTTTTTCCAACACTGAATTCCGTCCCCTTTTTTTCCAACACCGAGTTCCGTCCCTTTTTTCCCCCTCGCACAATTTCTTCTCCCCAGCCCACCAGAGGAAGAAATTCGCCGGCGGGTCAGACCGCGGTATAAAAGCGTTCCGTCGCTGAGCTTCAAACAGGTGCTGTCCACAGAGGGCTCGGCATGGGATTTTAAAACTTGTCGTCTTGTGGTGGATTTTCATACGGCGGCTGGTACCGGTGGTGTTGTTGGATTACTTGAAAACTTGACGGTGTCTTCTCTGAATATATTTTTTTAACAGAGCTGGTGAGTTGCCTAGTTGTTTACCTTTGTACAAGTTGGAGGAGGAACTAGATCTTAAATAGTAAAATATGAAACAGGCCTTAATTATTTGCAAATTAATAATTACTAAGATTTATAATTTTAGATTAATTTGTTAAGAAGGTACTTTTAAACTTAACTATTAGAATCTATATCTAGATCTATTCTAGATCTGGCTATATTCAACATTCTATATCAGTATCAGTTACTCATTATCTTATGGCTTTATTCAAATATGTTTTGGATATTATGTATACATAACAAAATAACATTGAATATAGAATATTAGGCCTATATAGATATATAGATTAGATCTATTATGCAATATCTAAAATTACAGTAATACTACTACTAGTAATAGGCTTACTATAGAAGATCTGTATTATTTATATATATATATATATATATATATATATATATATATATATATATATATATATATATATATATATATATATATATATATATATATATATATATATATATATATATATATATATATATATTATACTAGGTCCTTCATAAATAATATAACTTATAACTACTTAATATAAACATTGGTTATTTATCCATTGTCATATTGACTCATATCTTCGATATTCCTTTTTTTTATTATAAAGATTATTAATTTACCTTTCTAGATTAGATCTAGATTCTAGATTTAGATCTAGATCTAGATTCTAGTAGCTAATGTTTCACACAAATATTTAAGTTCCAATTGACTGTCTAACGTTAACCATAGCCACCCTAACCTTGTTCATATCTGTAATAAACTAGCATTAAACCCTATCCCTGTGTATTCTGACTCCAGGCCCAACTGAAATCTTACCCTTAAACCTAATCTAGATCTGGATCTGGTTCTAATCCTTGCTGTATAACAATTACACGAAGAAATCTTAATTACGGTGTTATATATTTACTTTTAAAAAATGCCTTGGTTAATTTAATTTTTTTTTTCATTTGAAGTGAATAATTTAAAAAAAAAAACAACTAATTAGCCCAATCCATGATTTCTACCCATCAAATTAAAATCTAAATGCCTTTTTTTTACGTTAGCAAAAATAAACATCAACATCGACAACTGGTGCATGTTTTTTTTTTATAATTTCATTTTAATATTTACGAAAACAACCAATTAAATGCTAATTAACAATTATACATCGAAATTCACATCAAGTTCACGTCTCGCGTCATAAACCTGCGGAGTCCGTCAGACTGAAGTAAGAGGCCCTGACGACCACATCTTGATACATATCTTTATTAACCCTTGCCTCGCCAAGTGGGCTAGCCTCGTTATTTTCGTTGTCTTGTTTTTCTAGGCAGCAAATTGTTAACCCACGAACCCATCCAACAAGAAGTATTTTAAAAAAAAAAACCACCTCACCCCCCCACTACTTTTTCCTCCCATCTTCATACAAACAAAAGAAATACAAACCTGCACACTCCGACCTATCCCCTATCTACCACATGAATGTCCCCTACCCCCACATAAATGTCCTCTACCCACACATTAATGTCCACTACCCCCACATAACTACCCCCACAAAAATGTCCCCTACCCCACATAAATGTCCCCTCAAATAAATGACCCCTACCCCCACTTAAATGTCCCCTACCCCCACACAAATGTCCCCTACCCCCCCACATAAATGTCCCCTCACATAAATGTCCCCTACCCCCACACAAATGTCCCCTACCCCCACATAAATGTCCCCTCACAGAAATGTCCCCTACCCCCACATAAATGTCCCCTACCCAAACATAAATGTCCCCTACCCAAACATAAATGTCCCCTACCCCCACATAAATGTCCCCTACCCTCATATAAATGTCCCCTACCCCCACATAAATGTCCCCTCACATAAATGTCCCCTACCCAAACATAAATGTCCCCTACCCCCACATAAATGTCCCCTCACATAAATGTCCCCTACCCTCATATAAATGTCCCCTACCCCCACATAAATGTCCCCTCACATAAATGTCCCCTACCCCCACATAAATGTCCCCTCATATAAATGTCCCCTACCCCCACATAAATGTCCCCTCACATAAATGTCCCCTCACATAAATGTCCCCTACCCAAACATAAATGTCCCCTACCCCCACATAAATGTCCCCTCACATAAATGTCCCGTACCCTCATATAAATGTCCCCTACCCTCACATAAATGTCCCCTCACATAAATGTCCCCTCACATAAATGTCCCCTACCCCCACATAAATGTCCCCTACCCCCACATAAATGTCCCCTCACATAAATGTCCCCTACCCTCATATAAATGTCCCCTACCCCCACATAAATGTCCCCTACCCCCACATAAATGTCCCCTACCCCCACATAAATGTCCCCTCACATAAATGTCCCCTACCCCCACATAAATGTCCCCTACCCCCACATAAATGTCCCCTACCCCCCACATAAATGTCCCCTACCCCCCACATAAATGTCCCCTACCCCCACATAAATGTCCCCTACCCCCACATAAATGTCCCCTACCCCCACATGAATGTCCCCTCACATAAATGTCCCCTACCCCCACATAAATGTCCCCTACCCCCACATAAATGTCCCCTACCCCCACATAAATGTCCCCTACCCCCACATAAATGTCCCCTACCCCCACATAAATGTCCCCTACCCCCACATGAATGTCCCCTCACATAAATGTCCCCTCCCCCACATTAATGTCCCCTACCCCCACATAAATGTCCCCTACCACCACTTAAATGTCCCCTCACATAAATGTCCCCTACCCCCACATAAATGTCCCCTACCCCTCTTCTAGTTCGAAATACCGGTTTAACAACTGTCTGATGACGTCATTATAAACACGTGATTAGACAACCACAGTCTTAGCCCACATAAAAACCCACCAAGTTTTGATCAGATTAGAATAACACCTAACCAATATAAAACCACCAATTTTTTGCTTAAATTAGAAATTCACTGTGCTAACGTGTTGGAACCCACTATATAAATCCCATCGTTTATCTAGTACAGTTTTAGCTGGAGAAAGAAACACACTCATCTAGGAAGAAGGGTTCTGGGTTTGTTTATAGTTTCAAGTGTTTAAGTACATTAGCGTGGGTGTAGTACTGGTAGTGTAACCTGTCGTTTTTACGGTCTTTCTGTCTTGTGTTAAATAGGATTGACCAGAAATATAAGACTATCTGCCAAATTTGTATGAGTGACTATCTGCCCAATTTGTATGAGTGACTATCTGTCCCACTTGTACGAGTGACTATCTGCCCAATTTGTATGAGTGACTATCTGTCCCACTTGTACGAGTGACTATCTGCCCAATTTGTATGGGTGACTATCTGTCCCACTTGTACGAGTGACTATCTGCCCAATTTGTATGGGTGACTATCTGCCCCACTTGTACGAGTGACTATCTGCCCAATTTGTATGAGTGACTATCTGCCCTACTTGTAAGACATTAATTTTACAGTATCTGTCCAGTATGCGTTGTCCCGAAACTAGAACAAAAAATTGCACTCTCGCGCACCCCCCCCCCCAACCCCAAGTTGTACACTATTGTGTACCCCAACCTCCCACCACCCACCACCCACCACCCGCCACCCAGATCACAATACTACCCCAGGGGAGATCAGTGATCGAATAATTAGCAAGTGGCGCTTCAAGGGTTTATAACTCCCTCCAAGTTTCATACAGTTTCCTGAATATTCGCTTACCATAGGGTCGTCATAAGGTTAGGTTTAGATTTAGGGTTACCTTCATTTTTATTACCGACACCACGCCATATGATAAGTGTTTTTACGAACGATGTACGGCTAACCCAATTGCGCTACATTTTTTTGTTTTGAATTAGGTTAAGTGGCATCACATCTTGGCAATGGACCCCGGGATTAAATTACGGGAGGGCAAATTTTGTGCGACACCGGTTATGTAGGTCCAAGCAGTTCACCAGCCAAAGAGATTGGTTTAGTCCAGTTATGCTGGGGTAGGGACGCAAGGGGGCGGGGGTGTCATGTTCTGGGGGTACTTTTTAATATTAATATTGACAGACGAGGCAGATTTAGTTTTTTCCCCGCAAATATCGAGTTTAGATGCCGAAGTTTATCGTGTGAGATATCACAAAGTCCACCTAAGTCAGATCATCATCGACTTTCCATGTTCGTGCACAAGACACACAAGACACATGGGGCAGATAAAGTAGAGTTTTTCTGTTTCATTGACCTCGGCTTATGAAAGGATAGTGTGGTCAGCTCTATGCCCAGCCGCCTTTATTTCTCTAACGTGATTCAGGTACCCATCAGAGCTGGGAGGACTCAGTGGCTGAGTTTCTTCCAGGCATCTCTTCGGGGGGGGGGGGGGGGGGGCGAAGCCACCCGAATTTTTTTTACCGCCCCCCCCCCCCCCCGAACGAAATGAAATTTATATAATTTATATAGAAAATATATACTTTTAACAGTGTCCGCCCCCCTCCCCCCGAAGAAAGTCTACCGCCCCCCCCCCCGAAAATTTCAAGTCTCCCCCCGGAGAAAAAAGTCTGGAAGAAACACTGCTCAGTTGCGTCTGCAGTCATAAGTCCGAACTAAGATCCGAACTCTAGACCTTCGTACTATCAATCAAGCACTCTACCATTCGACTTTACCGCCCCTTAACTCTGATGGATTCCTGGTATCTGATGGATATCTGACCCACGTTAGGGTATATGACCCACGTTAGGATAACTGACCCACGTTAGGGTATATGACCCACGTTAGGGTATATGACCCACGTTAGGTTATCTGACCCACGTTAGTGTATCTGACCCACATTGGGGTATATGACCCACGTTAGGATAACTGACCCACGTTAGGGTATATGACCCACGTTAGGGTATATGACCCACGTTAGGTTATCTGACCCACGTTAGTGTATCTGACCCATGTTAGGGTATATGACCCACGTTAGGATAACTGACCCACGTTAGGGTATATGACCCACGTTAGGGTATATGACCCACGTTAGGGTA